TTTGAATTTAAACTTGTACAAGGTCACACAGAAGAGGTGGATTCAGGAATCCATTCCAGATCATCTGATTCCCAAGCCTGCATGTGTTCCATTACACCGAGTTCATAGGAAGGGATGTATTTAGATGGGGAGGTGGAGGGGAGAGATGGAGAAATGGTAAGAAAGAAACTCTTACAGTTCTGCACACACCTGACAGAGCTGACCCCGAGATGAGTAGACAATTAAGCTAAAAAGGCTCCATCTGTGTCCAAAATAGTGTAGACAGCAAGGATGACAGCACGTGATCGAACGTGACCAAGCACGTGCTCTGAGAGGGCTTTCACCTACCCTTCCTGTCTTAGTCTGCTAGTGCTGCCCTAACAAAAAAAACAAAAAAAAACACCACAAAGTGGTTGGCTTTAAAGAACAGAAATTTATTTTCTCACAGGTCAAGAAGCTAAAAGTCCAAATCGAGATCTCTGCCATGTCGATTGCTTCTATGGGCGTCTCTCTTAGTTTCTGGTGTCTGCCAGCTATCCTTGACAATCTTTTACTTGTAGACAGGTGTTCTCATGGTATCTTACTTCCCCCTGTGTGTTTCTGTGTATTCTGCTCTTTTCATAAGTTATTAGGTTTAAGACCCACCCTACGCTGGTGTGACCTCATTAACATAAAATAAAAACCCTATTTCCAAACACGGTCATATTCACAGCTACACGGGTTAGGACTTCCACATTTCTTTTTTGGGGGACACAATTCAACCCATAACATCTTCCAAGGCCATTCTTGCATTTCTCAGTGTCCTGCACAGCACTTAGAACAACATGTCCGCAATGAAGGACACCAGTCAACACATGAGGATTGGCTGAACTGACTGCACTCAGCCCTATAACCATTGATGGTATCACCCTTTGCCCTAAACTCCCCACTGCTTCATATTCCCCCTCAATTTAATGTCCACCATCCATTGGGCTATTCATACTTGTTCAGCCTCTTCTATCACCATTCTGTGAACTGGCCTCTCTTCCTGGGCCACCTGTTCTCTTCACAAATTCATGCATTTAAGAGTATTCATGTGATGTATACAAGGTACAAGTACAGTGTGAGATGCATCTGTCTTGTTTGTAGTTCTCTCATCATCCACATGGTCCATCCATGGCCCTCCTCTTTAATGATTACTCCTCCAGGGAAACCTCACCTCCTCAGTCTGATTACTTTCATGCTCTGTTCCCCAGAGCTCTGTGGACATATTGGACCACAGGAATTGGAACCTATCTTTGCCGTCTGAGTTCCTCCATAGGTGTGGGAGATATGACCCTCAGGCACATTAGAGCAAGAGTCTAGTCCTATGTCTTCCACTTTTTTGCCCCCCATTCCACAGGGATGGGCTCAAAGAAAGCATTCATGCATTCATTCAACAGATGCTTATTGAACACTGACTATGTTCCAAACACAAGTCCTAGGTTTAGGAAATATGGCAGTGAACAAGACAGCAGGGCCCTGCTCTTATGGAGCTTACATTATAGAAGACATTATAGAAGACAGGTGATAAGTAGGTGATTTAATGAATAAGATAATTTCAAAGAGTGATAAGTGCTGTGAACATAGCATAATGAGAAGTTGTGATAGTAACTGGGGAGAATTCTTTTGATTGGGACCACAGGGAAGGCCTGTCTGAAGAGGTGACATTTGAACTGTGATGGGGCAGAGAATTGCAGGCAGTGAGTCCACCTTAAATGTTAATTGGTTGGGTGATTGGATGGTTGGGTGGTTGGTTGATTGAACGGATATAAGCACCTATGGTTGAGGAGACAGGCCTCCCTGACAGAAAGTTCTTTCTGTAACATAACCTAATTCTATCACTTTGTTTTCTTTCAGTTCCCTGTGGTAAGAAATCTAGTGAGTCTTGTCCATGACCTTTCCTCTCCAAGTGTGTCTTTGGGCCACAACCTAATGGATGGCTGTCTTAGTTATCTAGTGCTGCTATAACAGAAATATCACAAGTGGATGGCTTTAACAAAGAGAAATTTATTCTCTCACAGCCTAGGAGGCTAGAAGTCCGAATTCAGGTGCCACCTCTAGGGGAAGCCTTTCTCTCTCTGTTGGTTCTGAGGGAAGGTCCTTGTCATCAATCTTCCTGTGGTCTAGCAGCTTCTCAGCTCAGGAACGCTGAGTTCAAAGGACGCACTCCACTCCCAGCATTGCTTTCTTGGTGGCGTGAGGTTCCCCTGTCTTTCTGCTCACGTCTTTCTTTTATATCTCAAAAGAGAATGACTTAAGACACAACCTAATCTTGTAGATTGAGTCCTGCCTCAGTAACATAACTGCCACTAATCACACCTCATTATCATAGAAGTAGGATTTACAGCACATAGGAAAATCACATCAGATGACAAAATGGTGGACAATCACACAATATTGGGAAGCATGGCCTCACCAAGTAGACACACATTTTGGGGGGACCCAATTCAATCCATAACAATAGGGACAGGACAGGGCCATTAGGTCTCCCAACGGCATCTACAGAGCAGCATCAAATTGGGCCCTTCCTCAGGAGTCTTGGTCAACACTCAGGAAGAGGAGAAACCTACGACTTCACCTGTCCAAGACTGAGGGTGACTTAAGTCCCCATAGGGTGGTTTTGGGCCCCCATTCTATTCCCTTAAGAGTAGCTTTCACCTTTGTCTTCTGTCTTAGGATAGCTCTGTATCCTCTGTATTCTCCCCTCTACAAGGCCCTGGACTTCATTCTTTACCTTTTATGTTCACAGAAACAGGCACCTTTGTCTGTAGACCTGTCTTCTTTTCTTCCTCCGCTATCCTTGCCCTCCAGCCAATCCTTTCCCACTTATCTCCATGGAGCTTCTGTCAAATAGGAAATAACTCTGATCTATGAATGATTGACCTCCAAGGGCATGCTCTGTGATGCCTGGGGGAGGAAGCTCAAACCAATACTTAACGCTGCTAAAAAAAGAGCAGATGTGGGAGTCTCAATGCTCAGTAACTCTGTCAATATCATTGCTTCTAGGGTGAGGGATTTGGGTCCTGGATCCAGAGAGATCAGGCAGAGGGTGGTTCTTTGTGCTCAAGGCAGGGATGTGCTGGTACTTGATTCAGGGCTGTATAAGATTGTTCATCATTGCTCTCAGGCCTTCAGTCCTGGCCCCTGAGGCTGTCTGGAACTGGTGGTGACTGGTTTGTCAAAGAGGTATGGCCTGAAGGACAGGCCTAGCCTGGGGCTACCCTGCAGATGGTGCTGGGTGCCGAGGAGTTTTTGTCTTATCCACCTTGGAGCAGAGAATGCATTTTAGGAGTGAAGACAGAGAGGAAATGACTGTAGTGGAAGGGGAAACTCCCTGCTAGGGGTGGAGAGGGATGCTGGGCCTGGGAGAGCCCTGACAAGGAAGGTCAGAGGGAACAAGCCCAGGCTGTGTACCTGCAATCCCTGGCTCCCCTCTGGCTGGTGAGGGTGCGACTATACTCAGAGAGAAATTGCATGGAGAACAACACTGAGGCAGCCAGGATATAAGAAGCCCTTCCAGGGAAGTGGGAATTGGGTCAGGAGGAACGAAGCAGGACAATGGATGGAATGAACCCAACTTGAGCCAAGCTTTGTAAGAATGATAGAGGAAAGTCGAATATGAAAGGACGCAAGGAGGATGTGGGGGAAGAGGACCGGAGAGAAGTACAAGGAGAGGAGAGGATGAATGGAGGATAGGAGTAAAGACAAGAAGAAGGAAAGAGCAAGGAGAGAAGAAAAAGGACACGAAGCAAAGGAAGTCAAGGCCCCATCTGGTCCCAGATGGCATGAAGGAAGGGAGCCACCAACCAGTGACAGCTGTGAAGGTGTTGTCCAGGAGCCTTCCATCCCCAGTGGGAGGACTTGGGCTGAGAGACAGAGGGAGAAGAGTGGACTGGTGGGACCTGCAGAACCAGGGTTGACCCCGTCTCTGTGACTTACAGTCTGGTTGCTACTCTGAGCTCAGCCAGACCCTGTATTTGAACGAGACATCCTGACTGCAGTGTCAGGGCCAGAACAACGCAGCACTGTCCCTGGTGAAGCTCTACAAAGACAAAGAATTCCTCCACTTCTGTAAGGACAATCAGCCCCCTCCATGGGGACAGCAACAGTGAAAAGCAATGGCCATTACAGCCACACTGGGCAAGTGATGTATATCCCACAGGTGGATGGAGAAACATCAGGGACTGCGATGGTTCATGTCCAAGATGAGCCACTAGCTGGGGGTAGGGGTGTAGGGTGCTGCTCAGGGATGGGTCTCTGAAAGTCCGCAGCACTCTAGGAAGGACCGCTCCCTGGCTACTCCTGGTGCTAGGCCAGTCCAGAGGCCCAGAGGTGTCCCATGATGCTGTCCAGTTGGGCCACCCCCCATCCCTCTATCCTGGGCACATCCAGAGCTAGGGGCAGGAGAGAGGATCCACTGGGGGGAGAACCCTGACCCAGCCCTGCCACTGAACCCCAAAGATACCACGGGTTGCTCCTTCCCCTCTCTGGATGAGATGACCTCTAAGGCCCCCGCTAGCTCCAACCCTCCAGGATCCAGACGGACTCAGGTTCAGGCTGTGGGGGAGTCATTTCAGAGCTGCTTGGTCAGGAAAAGAGAACAGTTCCTGGGGGATGACATGTCTCCTGTTGGCAGGGGGCTGTGGCCTGGGATGTGCTGCAGCGCAGTCCTCAGCATCCAGGGACTTTGTTGTCCCATGTCCCCTCCTCTGAGCCTGGGCCTGCATCTCCTCCTATGCTGAACACTGTCCCCATTCTTGCACCCTGTGAGAGAGGCCTGGTCACCCTGAGATTTCAAACAAAGTTGCACCCCCAGAGGTCAGCCTCCCAGCTCCTCTTCTCCTTCCACTATGATGCCAGGCCTTGCAGGGCAGGTGCCTCAACCCAGAACTCTGGATCCCAGGTGCCAAGCAGGGAGACTCTGGACTGTACTGGTACAAGGCGGCCACTGAGGGTAGCTGGGTCCAGAAACATAGCCCCCAGCTGGAGATCAGGGTACATGGTAAGTGGCGGAGGGAGGGGAGAATCCTGAGGGGTCTGGGCTTCAGGCAATGGGACCTCTGGGAGTGGGAGAGGGTCCTGGGCATCCAGCTGACCCTCCCCACCTATGTGTGCCACCCAGTGCCTATGTCTAGTCCCCTGCTCACCCTCCAATCTGGGGCCACTGGCCCTGCTGGGGGGATGTGGTGGAGCTCCTCTGTGAGGCCAAGAGGGGCCCGCCTCTCGTTCTATACTGGTTCCACCTCAACAGGGAGATTCTGGGGAACCATTCAGCCCCCCTAGGGCAGAGCTTCCTCCCTCCTCCTCCTGGTGATGTCAGAGCAGGACTCCAGAAACAACTCCTGTGAGGTGGTGAACAGTGTCTCCAGAGTGATGAGTGAGTCCAGGAAGCTCTCCCTGGACAGTATGTCTTGTTCCCGTAGCAGGTTCCGAGCCCTAGCAAGTGGTCAGGATCAGGTCTCACTTCTCTTTGTACCTCCCATTATGCCTGACACAGTGCTGGAACCAAAGTAGGCACTGTATTGACTGAGCCTTTGCTTGGTGCATCTGCCCACTGAAACCTGGGGGAAACACTGAAGTCCACAGAGAATGGGAGGACTATGGTCAGCCATGGTATCGCCCTTCCATGCTGGCATCCTGAGCCATCCTCGTCCTCATCTACATGGCCAGACAGTTCCCCCTTCTATGCTAGTCTGCAATGCATTTCTGAATTTCATCCTTAATGCTTATGGTCACCCCTCTCGCCAGGTTCTTGGGTCTTGTCCACCCCCACAAGCAGCACCTGGCTCATTCCTTGGCTGCCTCCAAGCTTTGGTGTGATGGTCATCACTGCTGCACTTTTGGGTTATTTCAGACCCTGGAGAAAAGTGGGTCTGTAACTCCTGTTGGTTTTTTTGGTTGCTGAATCCCTATCCAGTCACTGTTCAGCCTTTGGGAGGCCAGAGCTTACGAAGACCAGCCACTCCCTTCTCCTGAGTGTTGGTTGGAAGGAGGGACCTCTCTTCACACCTCACACAGAAAGGCACATGGAAGGACACTTACAGCTTCCAAAACATACAGACACCATCACACACACACACACACAGACACACTGTCCCACTTGATCATAGTCACCCAAAGATGCACACAAACACATGCTACACACACAGGCGTGAAGACAGATGCAAACCGAGAAATTCTTCTGACCAAACGTGACGTGTATCAGTGTCCTTCACATTTGAACGACAGCTTGTGCCTATGAATATGACTGTGAAAAAAGCCCAAGGCCTCCAACAGTCCCTTCCATTAAACTCAGCAGAACTCTGGTCTGCTTTGTAAGAAAGAAGGAATGAGGGCTACAGGGTTTACGTGCACACAAATTCACACACGCTCATATTGTACAAAGTTGTGCCCTAGGTGAGTGCTCAATAGATGTTAACTGTCAGAAAGGAAACAGGGTGGAAAGAACCAAGCAATGGCCTGGGAGTCAGACAATTTCACTTTGAAGTCCCAACTCTGCTATTTACTGGTTCTGTGACCTTGGGCAAGTTCACTCCAAGACTCACTAAATTATCTCCTTCTGTGGTCGTTGCAGGAGTTTAAGTTAATGAGATAGCATGTACCTAGGATGCGATATGTTGCCTTGGCATGTAGTGGGTGAGCAGTAAACTCTCATTCTAATCTAAGCAGATCACCCCTGCGGGGCCTCCAGGCTGCCCTTCCTCCTGCTGTCCATTCTCCAACTCCTCTTATCAGAGCCATGGAAAATGAAGAGTTTGGTGAAGATCCAGATGTAGAAGGTTCTACAGTGACAAGCAGCTGAAAACAGTCAGATAGATGACATTTGTAGATTATTTATTGATTTTGATTTCCAGATTCTCTTCTTCTTTCTGTCTTGTTAATGATAATTAAGCATTAATGTGTGAATATATGACCAAAAACTTGATTCTAGACTTAAGTCTAATATCACTAGTATACCCATAGTAGGACTACAAGGTAATGAGCCTAAACCAAGCAAAAACCAAACCAGTTGCTGTCAAGTTGATTCCCTATAAGATGGAGTAGAACTGCCCCCGTAAGGTTTTCAAGAAGCGGCTGGTGGATTCTAACTGCAGACCTTTCAGTTAGCAGCCAAGCTCTTAACCACTGTACCACCAGGGCTCCTAGTTTGTTTGTTTTTTAACAGACCAGTATTTGTATTTCCAAATGAATGTTGGCTTTCAAAGCAATCACCTTGGGTGGCTTATTCCAACTCTAACCCTCACTTGCCTCAGGCCACGTTTAAGGGATTGGGAATCAGTACCAAAGCTGCTTGATGCCAGTTTTGTTCCTAGAGTTTCAAATCAACCAACCTCCACCCTACTTCCTCTCCAGGAGCAACATTCTTATTTCCTACTTGTCTAGGAAAAAAGTGATTGCTGTCTTAGGCCTCCAGAGTTAGATTTACTTATTCAAGTTTGCAGCTCCCTCTGTTGAAGAATTTGTAGATGAGTATCTCAGGAGCTGAGCCAGGCTACTCACTGAGGAAGACCACCCAGGCGTGCATTCAAAGCATCCCTCTCTGATCATCAGCCGAGCTGCCTGGAAGGGTGTCTCCCAGCCCTAGATCAAGTCCCCTGCCTCACCAGTCCCCCTAGTCAGGGCTTGGACCAGCCTCCTACTTCCTCTGTCTTTTTTAATTCAGCAGTCTTAGTCCATCCAACTCCCATCCCGCTTCCCTATAGGCTTGAGTCTGGGTTCCATGCAGGTTAGACATGCTTTAATGTATATTCATATGGTAGGAGAATGATGGGGGCAGGCCCAGAGCTAGATGGGGAGACAGCTGGAGTAGGGAACTATCTTAGTTCCTTAGTGCTGCTATACCAGAAATACCACAAGTGAGTGACTTTAACAGAAATTTATTTTCTCACAGTTTAGGAGGCTAGAAGTCCGAATTCAGGGCACCAGCTCAAGGGGAAGGCTTTCTGTCTATCCACTCTGGGGGAAAACCTTTGTCTCAGCTTCTATAGTGTTCTTCTTAGTCAGGACTTGTCTTAGTCATCTAATGCTGCTATAACGGAAATACCACAAGTGGATGGATTTAACAAAGAGAAGTTTATTCTCTCACAGTCCAGTAGGCTATAAGTCCAAATTCAGGGTGTCATCTCCAAGGGAATGCTTTCTCTGTCGGCTCTGGAGGAAGGTTCATGTCATCAATCTTCCCTTGGTCTAGGAGCTTCTCTGCACAGGAACCTCAGGTCCAAAGGACGCACTCTGCTCCTGGCATTGCTTTCTAGGTGGTATGAGGTTCCCAACTCTCTGCTTGCTTCTCTTTCCTTTTATCTCTTGTAAGATAAAAAGTGGTTCAAGCCACACCCCAGGGAAACTCCTTTTACACTGGATCAGGGATGTGACCTTAGTAAGGGTGTTACAATCCCACCCTAATCCTCTTTAACATAAAATTACAATCACGAAATGGAGGACAGCCACACAGTACTAGGAATCATGGCCCAGCCAAATTGATACACATTTTATGGGGGACATAATTCAATCCATGACAGGGCTTCAAACTGGTTCATTCTGATTCGAACCCCTGCTGAGAATTTGCATTTCTAACAAGTTCCCAAGTGATGCTAATGCTGCTGGTTAGGGACCAGTTCTGAGAACCACTGGTAGAGCAGTGGTTCTCAAAATTTATCATGCATAAGAATCACCAGGGGATCTTGTCAAACTACAGATTCTGATTTAGTATATCTGTAGTGTAAATGAAAATTCTCAGCAGGAGTTCAAACTGGAATGAACTGCTTCAAAGCCCTGTTGTCTGTGTTCCTCGATTCCCTGGTGAGCTCCACATGGCATCTATCTTTCTCCCATTTGTGCTTGTTTCTCTGTGCCTAATCTGCTCTTTTTATATCTCGAAAATGATTAGGTTTAAGACATACCCTACACTGATATGGCCTCATTAACATAACAAAGCAAAGCCTATTCCAAAATGAGGTTCCATCCACAGGTACAGGGGTGAGCATTCCAACACATATTTTGCAGGGACACAGTTCAATCCATGACAGGAACCATGAGCTAGATCTGTGAGTTCTACCATCCTTGCATCTGTAACAAAGCCTCATTTGAATGGCCCAGCCTAGTCTATTAACACAGGTGTTTCTGCCTATTCACATCTGGGTCAGAGCATTAAAGGCAGAGTACAGCCTCCTCCCTCCCCAGACCCAAATAAGCAAGGTGAGGAGTAGTCCCTGGTGAGAGACTTCGAAGAGGAAGCTGCCTCTCACAAGGAACAAAAGAGCTTCCCTCTCCATGTGGAGACTCTACTCCCGCCACTGCCAACCTTGGAGCAACAGGGCTGATTTTATTAAGAGACCTGTCTTTCATGCAGATAGGACTCTTGATGGCGATCCTAATATCTCAGAATTTCAGGGGCACAAAACCCTCTTTAGAATGTCTCTTGGAAAACCACCTTCAGTCTCAATCCCTTAGCTACACAAGAAAAACAGCTCAACAGCTTTGTTCTCCATACCCAGGTCTGAAGGGATCTTAACCATTTCCAGGCAGCACATCCATTCCTCAGCAAATGAAAAATAGGCCACCACCAAAGATATTCAATAGACTGTAGTTCTAAAAGGAGCCCCTGATGGTGCAGTGGTTAAAGCACTTGGCTCCCACTCCGTGGAAGAAAGATGTGGCAGTCTGCTTCTGTGAAGATTACAGCTTTGGAAACCCAATGAGGCAGTTCTACTCTGTCCTATAGCGTCACTGTGAGTCAGAATCGACTCGACAGCAATGGTTTTGGTACTTCTGAAGGCATTTTTCAGAACACTTTGTCCAAGGATGGTGTCACTGGAAAATGGATTGGTCATGCAAGGGGTCTACTTCAAAGAGGACAGCCTTCACCTAGACGTACAAGTTCCGGCTTGTTTGTTTAAAAGTGTTCGTTGTACTGCCTTGTCACACCTCCTATAAAACAGGGTTCCCTCAAATTCAGGGAGCTCTTCATTGAATGGAGACAAGAACACACAGCCCTTATATGTGAGCTCTAGGGAATATTTAATAACCAGGGGCCTGTCTGAGTCTCCATAAAAGCCCACAGGTTTTACAGGAGAAGACACTTCCACAGATCTTACCTGGTGATTCTGATGCATCCTTGCTGTTAGAGCTAATGACTATTTCTTGGGCCTCCGACATGAACCAGGTGTTCTAAAATCCACCCATGACTCAACTCCTATCCCAGGAGCAAATTTTTCAAGTTCTGGAAGCACCTGCTGTCACAAAGGCAGTGTGCTATTGGAGAAAAAGCATACAAAACTGGATTAAAATTCTGTCTCCAACACTTACTATGAGACCTTGGGGAAGTCACCTGTCTGAGCTTCAGGTACCTCATCTATAAAATGGAGATAATAGTATCAACCTTTGCAAGACTGTAGTGAAGAATATCGTTGTTGTTGTTGTTGTCACCAAATCGATTCTGACTCATAGCAACCCTATAGGACAGAGTAGAACTGCCCCATAGAGTTTCCTAGGCTGTAATCTTTACAGGAGCAGATCATCAGGTCTTTTCTTCCATGGAGTTGCTGGTTGGTTCAAACCGCTAACCTTTCAGTTAGCAACCAAGTGCTTAACCATTGTGCAACCCCAAAGAATTGGGAGGGAGGCTCTTTTGAGATCCAACTATGTGCCAGTCACTATGTTAGGTGCTTTGACGTGAAGTAGACATTACATTTCAATTCCCTGGCCCAGTCTCTGGCACATGGTGTATGGTCAAAGATCCTTAGCTTTTCCTCCTTCTACAAAGCAGTCTGCCTGGTGGTCTGGACCCTTTCCATTCAAAGGTGTGACCCATCCTTTCTGACCCTGCTTCCTCCCGTCTGTGATTTCCCATGGAGCTGTCTTACCCTCTAGAGTATTTTTCAAAAGAAACATGTCATAGAAATTAACCACATCCAGACCTGTGAATTAACCCTCATAAACAAAGCAGGGCCCAGACCTCCAGCAGCCTCCACTGGCATTCTTTCTCACAGCCTCTCTGTCCTCACTGTCCTGGCTGCTCTTGGAGGGATGCTCACTGACTTTCACCATTGTATCTCCTTCCACTCCAGAATCCATCCCCAGCTCCAGGTGTAGAGCAGTGCCCACAGTATACCGATGGTAAGGACTTCCCCGCAGGACCATGGTCTGACCACGAAGGTAGAGAGAGGCCTAGAGAGAGGAGGAAAAGGAAGGAAGACTTCCTGAGTCCTGAGTCCTAAGAGTCAGAGTCATCCGGGGAAAGGAAATGGGTGGCTTCTGGAGAGAGTTTGAAGAACAACTGCTGTGGAGTTGGAGGTGGGAGAGGGAGACAGTAAGGGAGCCAAAGGAGAGGGCAGGCAGGTTTTAGACCAAGGATTAGCAAACTATGACCCATGGGCCAAACTTGGCCCACTGCCTTATTTTGTAAATAAAGTTTTATTGGAACATAGCCACGCTCATTTGTGTACATATTGCTATGGCTGCTTTCACACTACAACTGCGGAGTTGAGTAGTTGTGTCAGAGAGTGTATGGCCCACAAGCCTAAAATATTTTCTATGTGGCCCTTCACAAAAAAAGTTTGCCAGCCTCTGGTTTAAACAGTGTAGGGGTTGGGAAGCTGCTAGAATCTGCTGAGGAGGCCAGGAACCTCCAGACAAAGTGGATACCCCTACATTGATGACCAACTCCCACCTCCTGTTATACCATGACATGGGAGCCCCTGATTGACTGGCTTCCCTCCTTAAGTGTGCTTAGAAGGTCTGAAATCTTGAGGTGGGAGAGTCAGGTGGGTACTATTTAACCCCATTCCTTCTAGTGTATCACCAGAGTGAGAAAGACAAAGGTGCTATCTACTCTGTAGTGCATACAATCCCAAAAAGGAGTAAAAGTGAGTGCTCTCCAGCCAAACTGATATCTTTGCTAATGTCAAGGGGAATTTCTGGGCCTAGGTTAGGGTACCACCACCCCACCACCACCATTACCACCACCACTACCACAACCATCATTACTACCACCACAGTCCCCACTACCATCAATACCACTATGACAACTACCACACTGCCACCACCACGACCATCATTAGCATTACCACTATCTCCTCCTTCATTATCGCTATCACCACCATTACCACCATGACCTCCTCCTTCACTACTATCATCACCACAAACATCACAATGACCACATAATCACCATCCTCAGCAACATCCTCATCACCACCATTACCGTATAACTATTGTTGTTGTTAGGTGCCCTCAAGTCAGTTCCGACTCATAGTGACCCTGTGTACAACAGAACGAAACACTGCCCGCTCCTGTGCCATCTTCACAATCCTTGTTTATGCCTGAACCCATTGTTGCAGTCACTGTGTCAATCCATCTCATTGAAGATCTTCCTGGTTTTTGCTGACCCGTTACTTTACCAAGCATGATGTCCTTCTCCAGGGAATGGTCCCTCCTGCTAACACATTCAAAGAATGTGAGACACAGTCTTGCCATCCTTGCTTCTAAGGAGGATTCTGGCTGTACTTCTTCCATGACAGATTTGTTTGTTCTTCTGGCAGTCCATGTTATATTCAATATTCTTCACCCACACCATAATTCAAAGGCATCAGTTCTTCTTTGGTCTTCCTTATTCATTGTCCAGATTTCATATGCATATGACGCGATTGAAAATACCATGGCTTAGGTCAGGCGCACCTTAGTCCTCAAAGTGACATCTTTGCTTTTCAACACTTTAAAGAGGTCTTTTGCAGCAGATTTGCCCAGTGCAATGTGTCACTTGATTTCTTGACTGCTGCTTCCGTGGGTGTTGATTGTGGATCCAAGTAAAATGAAATCCTTGACAACTTCAATATTTTCTCTGTTTATCATGATGTTACTTATTGGTCCAGTTGTGAGGATTTGTGTTTTCTTTATGGTGAGGTGTAACCCATATTGAAGGCTGTAGTCTTTGATCTTCATCAGTAAGTGCTTCAAGTCCTCTTCACTTTCAGCAAGTAAGGTTGTGTCATTTGCACATTGCAGGTTGTTAATGAGTCTTCCTCCAATCCTGATGCCCCGTTCTTCTTCATATAGTCCACCTTCTTGGGTTATTTGTTCAGCATACGGATTGAATAAGTATGGTGAAATGATACAGCCCTGACACACACCTTTCCTGACTTTAAACCAGGCAGCATCCCCTTGTTCTGTTCAAATGACTGCCTCTTGATCTGGGTAGATTCCTCATGAGCACAACTAAGTGTTCTGGAATTCACGTTTTTTGCAATGCTATCCATAATTTTTTATGATCCGCACAGTTGAATACCTTTGCATAGTCAATAAAACACAGGTAAACATCTTTCTGGTATTCTCTGTTTTCAGCCAAGATCCATATGACATTAGCAATGATATCCCTTGTTCCATGTCCTCTTCTGAATCTGGCTTCAATTTCTAGCAGTTCCTTCTGGATGTACTGCTGCAACCACTTTTGAATTATCTTCAGCAAAATTTTACTTGTGTGTGATATTAATGATATTGTTAGATAACTTCTGCATTTGGTTGGATCACCTTTCTTTGGAATGGGCACAAATATGGATCTCTTCCAGTCAGCTGGCCAGGTAGCTGTCTTCCAAATTTCTAGTCATAGACGAGTGAGCACCTCCAGTGCTGCATCCCCTTGTTGAAACATCTCAACTGGTATTCCGTCAATTCCTGGGGCCTTGTTTTTCGCCAGTGCCTTCAGCACAGCTTGGACTTCTTCCTTTAGTACCATTGGTTCTTGATCATATGCTACCTCCTGCAAAGGTTGAACATCAACCAATTCTTTTTGGTATAGTGACTGTGTATTCCTTTCATCGTCTTTTGATGCCTCCTGCATTGTTTAAATCTTCCCCGTAGAATCTTTCAATATTGCAGCTCAAGGCTTGAATTTTCCTTCAGTTCATTCAGCTTGAGAAATGCCAAGCATGTTCTTCCCTTTTGGTTTTCTAACTCCAGGTCTTTGCACATGTCATTGTAATACCTTACTTTGTCTTCTTAATTCACCCTTTGAAATCTTCTCTTCATCTCTTTTACTTCACCATTTCTTCCATTCACTTTAGCTACTCTACATTCAAGAGCATGTTTCAGAGTCTCTTCTGACATCCATTTTGGTCTTTTCTTTCTTGTCTTTTTAATGACCTTTTACTTTCTTCATGTATGATGTCCCTGATGTCATTCCACAACTCGTCTGGTCTTCAGTCATTAATATTCAGTGAATCAAATCTGTTCTTGAGATGGTCCCTAAATTCAGGTGAGATATACTCAAGGTTGTATTTGGGTTCTTGTGGGCTTGTTCTATAAGTACGAAATCAGAGTGGCAGCTCTAGGGGAAGGCTTTCTGTTTGTGTCGGCTCTGGAGGAAGGTCCTTGTCTCCTTTTAACATCCATGAGCCTGGCATTCCTTGGAGATCTCCATCTGTCTTGGTATCAATCTTCCCCTGGGTCTAGGAGGTTCTTAGCACAAGGACCCTGGTTCCAAAGGGTGTGCTCCACTCCTGGCTCTTCTTTCCTGGTGGTAATAGATCCCCCTCCTCTGCTCGCTTCTCTCTGGTTTTGTCTCTTGTAAGGAAGTGAAGGGTGGTGACTCAAGATACATCCCACCCTGATCCTACCTCATTAACAGAACAAACATAATTAATTCTTGTTAACACCTAATCCTGCCTGATTAACATAACAGACAGCTCACTCCCAAATAGGACCATAACCACAGGCATAGAGGCTAGGATTTGCAACACATCACAAAATGGAGGATAATCAGATCACAAAATGGAGGACATCCATACAATACTGGGAATCATGGCCTAGGCAAGTTGACACATATTTTGCAGGGACACAATTCAATACATGACAGGAACTAAGGGGAGGGAACAGCCAGAGGGCCTCTTGGACTCAGAGCAGTCCCCCGAGGACCTGATTGGTTCTGCCAAAAGCATTGCCAGGGCAGATAGGAACACACACATGGATAAGGCTCCTTCCCAAGAAGAGTTCTAATGAAGACTTAAACATAAGAAAGAAAATCAGGAACCAACCTCAGAATGTATGGTTTTCATTGGCAAAAGAAGGAAATATGGTCGTTTTAATCCTACCAGGGCAAGGAAGGTGAAGACATGATTTTGGGGGGGCATCTGCCCCTAACTCATTCCTACTCTAAGCAGGCTTTCCTATGTGTGGTTGAGGAGATTTGAAGACCAAAGTAAGGAAAGGCCATCATCTTCCAAGATGCCTAGGCAAGTGGATGCTGGATCCTTTTCCATTTAGAGAATGCTTCACATTTTGCAAAGATTCAATATTTGCCTGTGGTTCCACTTTTTATGGAGGTAACTGTAGGGAGTTATTAGCTTCTCTGAGCCTTGTTTTTTCATCCCTATATGAGAAGAAATCACTAATTCCTACTTTGCAGGATTGATGTGAGATTAGATATAATGTATGTAGTCCTCATACCTAAAAGGTTGCCTGGCATATAAACAAACAAACAAACAAAAAAACTCATTACCGTTGGGTTGATTCCAACTCATAGCAACCCTATAGGACAGGGTAGAACTGCCCCATAGGGTTCCAAGGAGTGGCTGGTGGATTCGAACTGCTGACCTTTTGGTTAGCAGCTGTCATGGATTG